AAAAGTTATGAAACTGAGAGAAAAGTTTTTATTAAGTAATACCATCTAAAACTTTTTGTAGTAAAACGTTTCTTCGAATGTTACAGGACATTGTAATATGTCTTTAAAAGGTCTTTTTTCTTCTTTTTTTTTTTTTTGAAATTCTGAAACTTTCAGCAGGAACTTCGACAAATTATTGGCCAGGATTTTTGCTCTACTGAAGGTTTTCAAACAAACATTGAAATGAAGACAATTAACAAGTGGGATTTGGGAAGCTTCGAGAGCTCCGACACCTATGAAAGCTGCAATACTCACCCCTTTGATTCCAAAGCAGACCTGGGCATTGAAGACCCCACTCTTGCACGAAGCAACTTGTATGTAAATCCTCTAGAAGACCCCATGCAGATAGGCTCAGCCCCTGTAACTCGAAGGTCACTGAAAGTTCCAGATCAACCTCCAAGATCTCACACCTCTGTCGCCCTCACCCATAGCAACTCGTCTGAAGATAGTGGAAGCTACGATGAATCCTCAGGAAGGACGATTATTGAACAGCCCCAAAACGACACACAAAATGCCTTCAGTGCCCTAACATCTATGAAGAAACCACGTTTCCTACAAGGTTTGATATCTAGAACTCGTTTTGATGAAATGGACTCTCCACAACGAAGTTTCCAATCCTCCACGGACTCTCTTCTTTCAGCTGGTAACAGACCAAAGGTTGGCATAAAAGCACCTTTTTCTTCCCGAGGTAAGGTAATATTAGCAAGGCCCTTGATCAAATGTTTAAGTAACACAACAAATTTTACACCAGTACTACGCTACAGCTGTTTTAATGTAAAACACACAAATAATGTGTAAACAAATTTACGTTGTCTATCATCATGCTTATATCGTGTTTTTAGCATAGTAACGAATTACAAATGTTGTGGAAAAAATCAAAATACTTAAAATGTATGGTGGTAAATGCGCTTTAACCTGTAGCAAGCAATGTTACCTGGTGGTTTGAAAAATCAATATCCGTTCTTTAACTATAAAGTTCGTCTGCACTTCTACAAACACACTTCCCCCGGTTGCTTAGCGGTAAGCTGGGGATTTATAAAGCTATACATCATCAAGGCTAGAACCCTGTAGTGGAAGTTATGAACCATCATTCTCACGAGGTCCAGGTTATGGTATAGATTGGACTGAAAATAAGTTGTGACTTAGTTTTCCTGTCGTACCATTCCTAGCACTCCCATTTATATTGTTATTGTAAGTTTATACATCATTTCCGTTTCTGGTTATTTTAAAAAAAAACTTCTATACATGTTAAAAAATGCAAACTTTACATTGTTTTTTGTTGAAACCTCTCCATATTTTTCTTTCATTATCTTTTTCTTTTTTCATATATAATATACTTATGTACATGAAATCAAAAAATCAAATAAACTAGCACCATACGGTCTTGAAAATTATACCTGATTTCTTTTTCAACGTTATATATACATGTCATAAGTTATGCGCATGTTTCACGTGACCTTTTGAAAAAAGTGCGGTTCTTTTGATGCATTTAGCACACGTTACTTCTTCTCTCTGGAAAGACAATGTCAGCATTTTGTATTCAGATTTTACCATTTGTTGAATTTTCTATTTGGTGGTTATGTGTTTGTATGTGTGTTAATGTTACCTACTGATAAGGGTTAGGGACTGTAAAAAGTTTTTTAAACATTGGAAACCAGATAAGCAGCATTTCCTTTTTGTGTTTCTAAGTGCTGGTTATTTACGCCATTAAGCCTGAAAAAAGGTTAATCATGCTACTTAATGACTGCAATTTGTAAAACATGACCATAGGAACTGCCACACAATAGATACATTAATTAAAGACCAATTTCATGCTTGAGTCTAAGTTCGAGAGGACAACCCCACAGTTGATGCACAGTAATACCAACTTGTTGTGTCTGTATAGCCAGAAATAAATGAAGTACTCAGTACAACATTGATGAATATAAGTGTTTTAGTGGTGGTTCAGTGTGATAAGAGGAAGACATAAGTTTGAATGGGTATACAGATTTTATTATAATTCCAAAGAGCGTATTTTACTGTTCGACAATACCGTGATGTGATTTTTAGACCCAGGTCCAAATAGACAACGTGTTTCTGATGCACGATAATTTCCGTATAACATACGACCAGGATTGTGACAACTACGCAGAATAATAAGATATAGAGAACTTGCCGCCAAAAAAAAAACTTATTTAAATCCCATAGAACATTTGTGGGAACTTCTTTAACACCATATACGTCAAACGTTTAACCCAACATCAAGGAGTTTGTCATTGGGTTGACTGATTGAGAATTAAGTTAGAATTTCCCATAACTGAGTGTCTCTCTCTATTTTTTTTTAATAAAAGTGAAACTAAACGTGGCCTAGTTTTTCATGCCCGAACTTCGAATCCGAGAATTCAATTCGCTTCCCGTTGCCGTAGAAACGCGCTTAACATTTTATGGACGTGGATATGCTATAAGAGTGACGGGAAAAATCCACTATTCAGTCAGAAAATATTAGCACAAGAGCTGGTAGCGGGTGCTGTTGACTGTTTGTCTTCCCTCTATCACGTCACAGCGGTAAGTCTTCGGATTTACAATGCTGAAATCAGGGGTTCGATTCCCCTCGGTGTACACAGCAGATAGCCCGATGTGGATTTGTTATAAAAAAACTCACACACCCTCTATCATATCAGTTCAAATCTATATGACAACTATGCGCACATAGCTACTGTGTAGCTCTGCGTAAAAATTCTAAAACAAACAGATACGATGTTTTCAGACAAATTGATTCAGTCAGCTCATAACTGTGACTCTATTGAATTTAAAGCTGCACATCTTTCACGAGTTGACTAGCGAAATATTGTTGACCAAACTAATGCAGTGACTGTATTCCTTTAATGAATATTGCTCCTAAAATATATGTCCCCTGGTGGGACAGCGGTAAGTTTATGGACTTACAACACTAAGATCCGGGGTTTGATTCCACACAGTGGATACAACAGATAGCCTTTGACCTAGAATAAACGAATAAAACAAAGATATATTTTTAATTTTTGCTCTGTTATTGATTTGGTTGAAAAACAAGTTAGGTATCAAATGTTGCCCATTAATATTTGATGTACTTTATATCTAAAGCCCCCAGTGGCACAGCGGCATGTCTGCGGACTTACAACGCTAGAATCCGGGTTTCGATACCCGTGGTGGGCAGAGCACAGATAGCCCATTGTGTAGCTTTGTGCTTAATTACAAACAAACAAACAAACTTTATATCAAAATTTAGAAAATGTCCTGATTTTTGTAATTGTGTTTATGCTATAGAAATTCTAACAACTAAAATGTTTTATTTTTTCCATCTATTTTGTTGTCCAACGATTATCAGTTTAAACATCCACGTTATCTTATATTCATAATCACTTCCACAAGGCCTGGCATGGCCAGGTAGTTAGGGCGCTCGACTCGCAATCTGAGGGTCGCGGGTTCGAATTCCCGTCCCGCCAAACCTGCTCGCCCTTTCAGCCGTGAGGCGTTATAACCAATCCCACTATTCGTTAGTAAAAAGAGTAGCCTAAGAGTTGGCGGTGGGTGGTGATGACTAAGTGCCTTCCCTCTAGTCTTACACTGCTAAATTAGGGATGGCTAGCGCAGATAGCCCTCGTGTAGCTTTGCGCGAAATTCAAAAACAAATAACACTTCCACACTTTGAAAGAACTAAATAAGCTTTCGTTCATGTTGTTTGCTTATTTTTTTTTTTTTGTTATTTCAAGGTCTAACATAAAATACACGATCTTCTCAGCCCTCTCATGTTTCACAGACCCAGTCTGCCGATCAAGCTCCTCCACTATCTTAACTTACTGCTTAAGCTACCCCAAGATGATCTGATCTCGAAAAATAAACGTTATAACACTCGCCCGTGGTACCAGAGGGGAGTAATGGGACTGGTAACATAAAATACGATGCCAATTTTGGGTTCAGCGACCCTTAGATGATCTTTCGGTTGCCTTTTACCTCCTTTTTTTTCATTGTAGCTCTAAGAAACAAACAAATTCACATAGAACGTGAATTGATATAGGGGCTGATCTCTCTCAACTGTCTGTTCGGTCTTCACAAGAGTCGTATTTTCTCCCATATGTATCCACAATAAAAACCCTTACAGTTACAGATTATTTGTATCTCACACTCTTACAGTTTGTGTCCTTAGAATTGTTTTATAGAACTTTTATAATTATTTGTAGTAAATAATATATCTGATTTTGTCGATTTTTCAATTTCTTCAGCGAGGTCCTTAGGAAGAAGTTCTTTTTTCGGAAATAAGGACATCATTCCTGTCTCTCGAAACCATCACTCAAGCCCAGAGGTCACCAAGAAAAGATCCATCTTGAAGAAAGGAGACAGTATCCATAAAGAAGAAATGGAAAGACTGCTAGCTGAATCAACGCAAAGGTTATCCACACACAACTCTGAAGAAGCGAACAATGAGGGAACATTTACTCAAGCTCAAAGTGGCTCCCAAGTCAAACATCCACTGAAGGGAATTGGTCCAAAAACAGGAACCAGACCTCACGCTCAGCCAATCAAGTTTCTGGGTGTTCTCAATGACAACAAATTATTGTTGAACAAGGGTACTCTTACTCCAATTGAAACTGTCCCTCGTCTTGTAAGTCACATACCCCAGCATAGGAGAAATCTATCTGAAGATAGTTGTCACGTTCCCGTTGGAAACTTGAATCGGACACTGGTCAGGCAATCCCATGTGAGTGACTCTAACAATAGTAATGTAACAGAACCTCTTGTGATGGCTGAAAATGAACTATCACACCCCAGAAGCACTTTTGTGCAATCTACACCAAATGCTACTGAAGTGTACTGTAGCAATCCTTTGTGTATATATTCTTACAACCCCTTGGGACAATCTTCACCTCCCCCTACTGTCTGTATCTGTGGCCACCAGGTGGCTCCTGTGATCTCATCTTCACCGTTTGTGGACATGAATCGCGACCGACTTGGGTTTATGACAGACCCACCAGATGATTCTGCTACGTCCTTCAAGTTAGTTGATCTGTCTTTAGAAGAAAGAGAGATCCTGGGAAGTGAAGGTTATCAGAAAACAACGCCCTCTAAAGAGTACGCCGTTTATTCGTAGCATTTTAGGTAAGATTATTTTTTTAAGCCAGCTGACGTTAAACGTTTTTGTAAAATACGATAACATTATGTGTTTTTTTCTTATAAATCTTCTTGAAAATTATCTAGTAATCCTGTCCTTCCTATTGATACCTTAAAAGAAGCGTCAAAGTACCATATGTTTTCTAGTGATTTTACAAGCGTTCTAAAGATCTTTAACTAGGTGAAAACTTGCAACATAAAATAAATTATGAAAGAGTTTAGGAAACGTAATTTAAAAATATTCGTTACGGTTGAATATCCCAAATAAAAATCCAACGTAAACAATTGCGCAATATATTACCAATGTAAAAATATAAAATATATCAGAGTAAGTGACTTAAGCATGATAATATAAAAAAAACGTAGGATTTGTAAATCACATAAAAAACTAGTGCTCTCAACAGGTGGGCATATTTTCATCAGGAGAAAAGAGATAATGGAGCACCCATTACCGGTAGCTCAGTGGTAAGTCTGAGAGCTTATAATACAAAAAAGTGGGTTTCGATACCCACGGTGGGACAGCACAGACAATCCATTGAGTATTTCTTTCGATTTTATACCGACATTTTACATCATGAAAACACTAAAATCACTATGTTCATAACATACACTTTGGCCAAAATATTTGCACACTGTTCTATATTGATGTTATTGTCTATGTGTATGGAGTAGTTATTGAGTAAATGTCCGAGTAGTAACAGATAAGGTGGCGTATGATCAGACAACTATGTACGAGTTGTTATTCAGGTCTGTATAAGTTGTTTTATATAAAAAGGTGTACTTTTGGTATAATCTTTTTCGAAACATATCAACGCTTTGTTCAAATACTTGCTCTGAGATGCTTGGTGTACAGTCATGCCTCGTCACGTTCCAGAAGTTATAGGGAGTCAAACTGTTCGACTGTCCAGAAATGATATGAAGGAAATGGACATTGACAGTATAGTACCCTCAGTGTACTGTATCCAAAATCCTGAAATGTCGTCGGACTACAGGAAACGTTGTTCCAGGAAAGTCTACTGGTAGACGCCGACAAACTACTGCCCGAGATAACTGTGTTTTGATCAGGTTAACACCTTAAGGTCGAAATAAGTCATGTACCACTTTACGACAGGAATGACATGAACACATTCAGTTCAAGCTATCAAGAAGAACAGTGAATAGGAGACTAACCAAACAAGGTTATTTTGCCAGAAGGGCTAACTGCAAATCGATATTAACCAGAATTCATCACCATCACCATGTTACTTGGGCAAGACAGACTGCCAGCTTAAAGTTAGGACACTGGCGACATGTCACCTTTTCGAACGAGTCCTGTTTCTGGCTTGTTAAAGCTGATGGTATGATTCGTGATCATTGTTTGCCTGGAGAACAGAAGAGGTAAGACTGTCTTTCGCACAGGAAGTGGTGCAGTACATCTTTGGGCAGCTATTCATCATGGTGGAAAAACTGCTCTTCATATCCTCCAGGAAAACATCAATAGTGCCTCCTACAGTTATCACACGGAGAAGATATTTTTGCTATAAATTAAGGAAAGGTTTGACAATAACTTTGTGTTCCAGGATGAAATTTCACTGCTTACAGTGCGCATTATAATATCGTGCCATCACCGACCAGGACGACGTTACAAGATTGTCATGGCCAGCAAAGTCTCCAGATTGTAATCACATTGAGAACAGTTGAGCAGAACTGAGCTGGAAAAGTGGTAATCATGACCATAAATCAGCTACTGTAGCTGAGTTGCAGCGCCTTCTAGTGACAAGTTAGGATGAAATCACAGTAGATTACATCAATAACCTCATCGATAGCATGCCACATCACGTTGCGGGGATTATTAGAGTACGAGGAGGACCAGCCAAGTACATGAATGTCTAATATGAACTGATATAAGGTTGAAGACGCTATTTTTAATAATCTGATGTTTTATTTTGTCATCGTATCTATCTATATATTGCAAACCATGGTGTTTGTCTGAGCTTTTTTCTGTCTTCTGTTTGAAAAGCTGCGCACGCAGACAAACAACATTCACTTTTGAAATGACGGGAGAACAGGCATGGATAATATTGATGCTAAATTGTATTTCGCAAGCAGGATATTCTACAATAAACTGTTAGGAATTAATCAAACTATCATTCACATTTCAAAACGTGATGTAATTTAAAGAATATAAATGTAGATTTACCGTATGTTATTGTTGAGCGGCTCTTAGCATGACTGAAATGCTCAATAATTACTTTTGCAGTGGGCGGTATAAGTGGCTCAGAGCTTTGGGTCTGAGTGAAACCAAGAGTGCAACACAATTAACCTTTTTAAAGTCCACGAAATAATTTAAATTGATAGATTAACTTCAACTTTTTCCGTCACTGGGGACGGGTACTTTTGCTTGTTATATATGTTTTGGTAAGGTTTGGTTATGATAACTGAAATGTTGAATTACACGTCTTTCTACAGGTTTCTAATAAAATTGTTTGCTGTTCTAATAAATCGTTCATGATGTCCATAGCACTTGTTTCACTATACAAGTTATATATGTAGATGTTTAATGTAACATGTATTTCTCATTTTGACAACGCTAAGTTTATTTCTATTCCATTTTAATAATAATGATCTTATTTGTTAAAAAATATGCAAACATTTAGGCCAAGACTGTGCAAAAAGGTCTATACTTGTTACTTTTTGGTGCAAAACAATTAATATTATTTTATTACAAGTTACAACGCTTACAGTAAGGAAGAATAATTTTAAAATTGTAAAACCTGTAAGTTGTAATAAAATAATACTTATAATCAATAATATAATCAAAATATTATAACAGTTAATAATGTTTGTTTGTTTTGAAGTTAAGCACAAAGCAACACAATGGGCTATCTGTGCCATGCCACCACGGATTATAGCTATGTAACTTCGCAGACATACCGCTGTGCCACTGGGGACCAGTTAATAATTCTTTGTTTTTAGTGCAATGCATCTAGTAGATTTTTCCCCCATAATATTTTTTAACTTACTTAATTAAAGTACCAATATTTTTGTCCCTCGGTGGGACAGCGGTATGTTTATGGGCTTACAGCGCTAAAATCCGGGGTTTGATTCCACGAAGTGGACACAACAGATAGCCCAATGTGGCTTTGCTCTAAAACAAACAAAATCAGTATTTTTGCGCCAAAAGGAATAAAATAATGTGACCCAACGCAATGGACCTCTAAAATAAAATTATCACAATATAAACTAAATAAAAACAGACATGCTTATTGTTTTGGGTGAAAGGTCACTTTATTTTTTGATAAAAAAGCCTTATTAAATCTCTTCTGGTCTGTCTAATGTTATTTCACTAAATCAGAACAACTAAATCTAAAATAAAAAACAAACATATAAATACTGCTACTTTTTTAACGTGCAAAGTTGATATAAAATATATATTTTGTGTTCAGTAACTTCAATTGTGTAGTTACAGTTTGTTTGTTTTTACGTGAGAATTACTTTTTTTATTTAATCCTACGAAATAAATCATGTTTTTGTGGGGCCCGGCATGGCCAGGTGGTTAGGGCGCTCGACATTATGAAAATTAAACAAATGACAGTTGTCGTCGCCTAAGCCAGAAATTCTTTTGGAGCAAAGGTTTATAAGCTGTACGTCATGTTTTTGTGGGCATTATGAAATTAAACATATGACAATTGTCGTCGCCTAAGCCTGAAATACTCTTGGAGCTAAGGTTTGTAAGCTGTACATCATGTTTTTGTGGGCATTATGAAATTAAACATATGACAGTTGTCGTCGCCTAAGCTGTACATCATATTTTTGTGGGCATTGTGAAATTAAACAAATTACAATTGTCGTCGCCTAAACCTGAAATACTCTTGGAGCTAAGGTTTATAAGCTGTACACTTTTAGGAGTAAAAAAGTAAAAACAAAAGTTTACTTCAACACACACACATATATATATATTAAAATATTTTAAATTTTCTCGAGATATCATCTCAGCATAATGTCAACATTTTAAATAACGTGGACATGCGAAGTGTTATTAGACTAAATTCCAGCTACTGATCTAATGAAATTAGTTTAGGCTTGCCTCATGCACCACGTTTTCTCGAAACACTTATTCCCATGATTACTGAATACAACTAGATAAACTTCCGCAGGGTCCCAGAAAGTGTTTTGTTTCAAGAGTAAATAAAATCCAAATTAAGAGAAACAAAAATTTGTATTTCTTGCTTCTGAAGTTCATATGTCATGCTCTGTTGTAGCCTACAGAGTGCACAATTCTTCTCGTGAGTCGTGGCATGCGCACGTTTTACTGACGTCACGACAGTACAAATTGCAATGTTAAGCGTCCCTTAATATCTACTGACTGACTGACAGACTGTATAATGGGTGCGAATGGTTAAAACGGGTGACGCCTCCGGGCGGCTTTCGGCTCCCTTTCGGAGAAATAAAAAAATCATCTCTCCACAACTGCTATCACGGTTCCTAATAAAAAACAAAGAATCACTCTTATAAGACGTCTTAAGTATAAACGGGTGAGAGTACAC